GCACACGTCGACTACAAATGTAGTAGCAACACTATCATTCTGCCGTGGTGAGTGAGTAGATAACGATGCCATTTAGTAAACACTTGAGCCAAGGGATACCGCATTGCGTCTTCGTGAGGCCTGGTACAAGACCCATCGGAAAAATAAGTCTCGTAGTTCCCAGAGCATCGATGATATTAATATTCCATCACCATAGAGGAGAGCTCTACAACCGCTCATCCCCAAGCCTTACTAAGGCTAATTAGAAGAAAACTATCCGCCTCTGACCAAGGCTGCACGAGTCAGAGGCGAATAATTTCCTTTTAATATATAACCATCCTCCCCCCCGGTAAGCTGAATTTGAGATGATTGGATCAGGTAGATCCCCAATTCCTATTAACAGTGAAACTAACAGCTTCATTTTTGCCGCAGCGATCCATGGTGAAACAGAGAGAGGCATTAAAACATGGATTCAATAATAATAGAAGGAGACTTACTGAGTAGTCCAGTCCAACGATACAGTCGTACCATGTGACGTTGATAAACACGATGCACATATAGCGATCGAGCCGCTGAGAAGAGTGAGCAGGGTCTTCTATGAACACATAGTCAGCAGCGAAACTGAAATGAATCCAAGCATGTTCGACAGCCTGAGGTGCTCCACCCTTACCTTGCCAAGGACTCTACCAAACAGACGAGAGCTCCTAAGAAGCAGTGTTGGAGAATGAAGGCAGGCCCGGTTATGATAGGGAGAAGGAAACACGATATCCCAACCGTCGTCGATTTGTGCCATATCTTGCCTAAAAATGGATGAGAATCTTCTTGTGCATGCGTGCTCATGCGTTACCAGCTTTGGGAGATACATAATCGAAGTGATACTCGAGTACTTCGTGTATATCTTCCCGAGCTGTCTCCACCATTTGGTAGACGGAAGGGGTAGGTCCTGTCCCCTCGCGGCACATTATTAAGAGCGAACACCTGCATAACTCAATACAGTGGCCTCGTTCTGGCACGCGCCACGAAAATAGGCCGCGAGCTCGATAGACCTCTCCCAGATTTCAGAAGCACTCCGAAGATCGAGTTTTACGTCTTACTGAACGTTGAGGAAAAGTAAGAAGACACGAGTGAGCAAGATCCCCATACTCCAGTACCATCATCGGGCAAACACTTTTCCTATTGTTATGACTTCCCCTGTCCGGACTGTTCTCATCTTGACCCTATCCCTGCTTACCTCAGGGACTCAGGGGAGTCTTCCTATCACTGAACATGTGAGCTCTTTGTACTGTATAGGAGTAGACCCTGCCTTAGGTTGCTGATGACATCGTTGACCAGTGCCATAAGGTGGTCATACATGGTGTTAAGGAGGCATCACAGATCGCTAAGGCCACTAACACTAATAAGGACCCGAGATCCATCTGGGTAAGGGTGGTCGCCCTCGTTCTTACTATATACCCTCCTTTAGTTGGTGGGAGATGATCGTGGTAGCTTCTCAAAGCACAGTTGTGAGGGTGTTAAGGATTCCCCTAGGAAGGACACTGAGGAGTCGGCCTATAAAGTGTCGACCGTTTGTGATGCCCATCCAACTAGCCTCTATTTCGAGCATGAATACGATGCTCTGATGTTCGCTGTTAATTGGGGAGGCCTGGAGACGGTAAGTGCCTGGTGAATGATGCTCTTCGTATCGTTCTGTGAATACTCCAGTTTACGGTATCCCCGGAAGTAGTCGGCGACGCCTGGGTAGAGGAGAACCCCTTCTCCACATGGTGGGCCGTGAAGCAAGACCTAGGCCTTTCCTACGTTCGTTACAAGAATGGAGTTCCCAAACTACGAAGGATAACTGTGAGTTCACTTTGGTCTACGTAGCGTGATTTATGTGGGTCAGCTGGGGGATTTCAAGCTCTACTGTGGAGTGGTTCGTTCCGGACCGATCGAAGCCAGCGGTCGCTTTGAGTTGGAGCTCACCTGCACGCACGAAAAGAAAATGAGCAAAACCTTCAACTTGCTGTTCAAGGAAAGATCGACTGCAATGATGTTCGCTGCCAACTGGGGTGGATACACTCTAGGGGTACGATGATTATCATCATCAAGTCTATACTATGGAGTTTTAGGTGCCAATAAGCTCCTCTGAGTTGGACGGCTCAGATGTGGCCTCTGCTGAGGTTCGCATCAATCCTTCCACTGAGATGGCTACTGAACGTATACTCACTGTGAGTTCACTCACTCGATGAGAATTACCAAGTTGCTGATGATGTAGATGAAGTCTGGCGAGAAGCACTTGTGTGCGGGAGTGACCGACATCGATGGTAAAACGGTGAAGGCCTCGTGTGCCACGACGGAAATCGACATCAATTTCGCTACGGAGCAAAAGGCTGAGAAGTTTGCCGCTGAATGGGGCGGATTCAGCGAGGTGCGACTTGCACGATTCGCAAGGTGGGAGGAAATATTTCGTTCCTGTTAGGTTGCGGCGGATTTGATATCGAGAAGTTCGGGTGTCCACTCGGGAGAGTTCAGTGGGGCGCTCCTTCGCGCCACTTCTGACGTTTGCGATTTGGGGAAGAGGATTGTACGTGGACGTATCGAGGTGGGTTTAAAGTGTAATGAAGCTCGATTTTGGAAATGGGTTTTTGTCGCTGGAATGGTCTAGTTGGTTATGACGACTGCCTAACACGCAGTAGGTCCCGAGTTCGATTCTCGGTTCCAGTATTTTCTTACGTTATTGCTACCTTCTAGGTTGAAGGCCTGAACGGTCGCATCAGATGTGACCGCGTCAGTGAGCCCGTCAACTACGATAGCAACAGCGACACCTACGTCGTGAATGCCAAATGCCAAGGGAAGACGGTTGGTATCAGATTCAAGGAGGAGGATGACGCCTGGAGGTTCTCATCGGAATGGTCACATTTCAGAGCTGATGTAAATATTTCCCTCCGCCCCGAAATTCTTCGCCATTGTGGATGCTACTCTCAGGTGTCTGTCAATCTAGCCTTGATAACACCGTCTCTTCGGGTCGAGATAAGACCCTCCACGACAACTGAATCGGCATCTAAGTACGCACTGGTAGCAGCCACTCGAGAGCGGTTCACTAGAGAGGATCGTGTGAGGCTACTATGGTTAGCTGTAGGGTCCTCCCAGGGCCACAGCACCGGTTGGGATGTGCTCTTGACTAGGTTGGGCCTGAGGGCACGAAAACGGAGGAGAAGATTTGGTACGCCTGTAGGAAGGTTTGGACAGTTGCTCAGTTGAAGTCAAGTGGGTCGTAACTACCGTCATCGTCGGGAATGTTGGCCTTCCAGGTGAGCACGCGGTTCGCACAAGATGCGGCCTCTCATTTCGGGGTGATACTCCTACGATGGAAGAGCGCACTGATGAGGTTGATATCATATTTGACAGGGAGAAAGACGCGAAGGAGTTTGCCCAGCAGTGGGGACAGTACGTTGCGGTAGGTCAAGGGCTCTAGGGAGGTGGGCAGGTGCCTCCCCAGGTGGATCTGGAGCACCTCGAGGGCGCTGATCTCGGTGGTCGTGGTGTTGTTGAAAGAGTTGATACAGCTGCAGTGTTCAAGGATACGTTTTCTGGAGCTGTGGTTGGGAGAATCTTCACTGTGAGTGACTTCCGAGAGGTTGGATATGTGCTTGGCGATGATACTGTAGATAAGCGGTTCGGCTTACTTCTGCGGGTCTTTGAAGGAGGAGACAGGCGTGTCGATGGTCTACAAGGAAGAACGTTATTACCTCACTTTGAGATGCTCCACCGATGAGCGCCTGGAGAGTACCATAGAGGTTGGTGGGGAGTAGTGGGTCGGAGGTCTATTCGCTCTCGGGTAGGTGAAGTTGGTTTTCAAAACGATCACGGCGTGTATAACTTTTGGAATCATTTGGGCCCAACTAGAGAACCCAGTGGTGAGCTCTCCTGCCTACTGTTCGCTCGGGTGTATGTGTTTTACAGGTGGAGATGGACGGCAGTTTGCTGAGGCAGGCGTATGCCACAGTGCAGGGGAGTAACCTCCGTCTCGGAACACCAAGACAGATACTGGCCGCTAAAGTGCAATATAATATCAACGCTGATGTCTTGAGGAGAACTCTGGAGGTGACGATGGGGGGTAGGGTAGGTCGGTGATAGTGTTAATCAGGTTGAGGATGGAATTGGGAAAGTTATGGTACATGTGTGCGCGCCACTTACGGCTGATATTGCGAATAGAAATGGTGGATACGTGGTTAGGGTAGGTGAGGTTGCTTCCTCGAGAGGGATAGGTCCTCGCTTTAGGCGGCTTGTGATGAACAAGATGCTACTATAAAGCACGACGATGCTGATCTTGTGAAGGAGTTTGCTTACCGTTGGGGGGGTCTTGAAGATCCTCAGATTAGAATTGATAACGACTTTATTGATTCTTGTCGAAATGTGGTGATGGGCACTAACTCTGCGGTTCACACGCTGGAGCAGGCCTGGGTTGATCATGTGGGTAGAGGGAGTGCATCTACTATGATGGTTGCTAGACGCTATATTAAAGTAAGTTTAACAGGAGGGGGAGTTGACATTGGTGTGGTATGGCTAGGTGCGGCAGCAGACTAGTCAGAGCTTGTCTTGTGATCCAGTAGTGGAGCCTCCGGAGAATGATAATGGAGTATATAGAATATCGTTGAAGTGCCAGTCTGAGAGAGTGATGGTGTCCTGTACAGTAGCTGATGCCGCGGTACTGTTCGCA